TATAATATCATCAATTCATAATAATCAGATTATATTTTAATCTACACTATTAAATAGTAATGATTAGAATACTGATAAATGATAATTGACAATATTGTTTGGACTGGCGATTTTCACGAGTTTTATTTATAATGATCTACTCGGTATTGAATAATCCGATTTTTAATTCGTCTCTCCAAGCATAGATCTAAAAACCGGCTTAAAAATAAATATCATAGTGTTTATGGCGATATCAATAATATATACAATATACAATTTATAATAATAATTTTAAGTCCTGTTTGCACAGTATTAAGCGTCTTGGTAAATGTTTGTATAAATCAAAATACTAGGTAAATGTATGGCTTATGAATTTATGATTATTGTGACTTGAAAAAAAAATTAACTTTTTTAACTGAGTTAAGTTAATTTTATTTTGCATCTTAACTTTTAACTTAACTAGTTATTTTTTTTTTGGGGGGGGGGGGTAACTTTTAACTTAACTGAAGGCAATTTTATTGAATTAACTTAACTTGCAAAAGTTAATTTTTTTCATTAACTTGCCCACCTTTGCAATTTAGTTAGTTCTAGTTTCTACATACATGCACTCATTACTCTAGTATGCTTTAATTTTAGGGCCAAAGGGGTAAAGCAGGACCGCCAGGAGTTCAAGGAGAAAAAGGAGATAAAGGAGACATAGGCCCTGAAGGAATGAAAGGTAATAAGTTACATTACAGAATATTATGTTACACTTAGTAAGATTACATAAAGAATATAGATACCAAACTACCGATATGTATTTTTTTTATCTAAGTTAAAGTAGTTATGTGTTTAACTGCGTGAGAATTAAAAAATTAAGAATATTACAATATTAAAACAATGTTTAAGACATCCACTGGTCATTTTTTAAGCATCTAAGTAATATAGTTTGCTTTACATAATGTAACTATTTATGACTTTATAATTTATACAGGACATAAGGGCTTAATGGGCTTGCAAGGACTACCAGGTGCCCCAGGTGCTGATGGTCAAAAAGGTAAGATATTAAACAATTAAATCTTATGTAAAACACAAGCCACAACTGTAGATCAACATTGCTTTATAATATTTAAAAAAAAAATATTGTATGACTTATCAATATGCAGTCACTTATTACCTACTTATTTAGGTAATATTGGGTATCCTGGACCTCCTGGACCTGTTGGTGAACCAGGATCGAAAGGTAATAGAAGTTATACTTTTTTATGAGTATAATTAATATAAACATATAATGCAGTTAAAAATAATTTGCAATTTTAATTAGGACCCCCTGGACAAGATGGAAATCCTGGGTTACAAGGTTTAGTGGGACAACCTGGTCCCAGGGGTTAGTATTTCATTGTTGTAGATATAGTTCTTTAAATGTTGAAGTAATAAAACATAAAAAATATTTAAGGACTAACTGGTGAACGAGGTCCTGATGGAACACCCGGAGCACCTGGCTTACCAGGACCGCCTGGTCCTCCAGGTGAAGCATTGGCATATGACATGGCTGCACTAACAGCTTTATTAACACAAGGACATAGCAAGGTAAGATATAAAATAAACTATTTTTTAAAGATATTTAACATAGAATTGAAATAGGGACCAAATGATGGAACACATCAAGATCAACCTGACAAAATGACAGAAACGGAGAGACGCGAATTGATATTCAATGCATATAAAAAATTGAAAACGTCATTTGAGAAGTTTAAGAAACCAAACGGCGAAAAGGATAACCCAGCCAAGACGTGTAAAGATTTATATGCTGCTTATCCCGACCTCGAAAGTGGTAGGAAAATGATTTCAATAATTTTGGGTCAATTAATAAAATGCCATTATTTTTATATAGGAGAATATTGGGTAGATCCTAATGAAGGAGATGTTCGTGACGCGGTACTCGTACGATGTGATCATATTACGAAGAGCACATGCGTAAAACCTCAACCAGATCATATAGGCCCAATAGATTTTGAAAATAGAAATCCTCAACCAGAAATTTGGCTATCTGAATTTGGATATACTGGACAGGTTGTAAATATCTAATAGTAAAAAAATATAAAACCAATTTAAATCGAATGCCTGCTTTTAGATATCATACAAAGCTGATAGCAATCAAATCGGTTTTTTACAACTATTGTCAGAATCAGCAAGTCAGAATTTAACATACCACTGTAAAAAAACAATTGGCTATTTTGATGCTGAAAACAGATCATACAAAAAAGGATTGAAATTAGTTGGATTTAATGATGCCGATATTACTCCAAGAGGAAATCCAAAAATGAAATACACTGCTATTGAAGATGAATGCAAGGCAAGTGTATCATATTTTGTAAAAATGCACCATAGTTATGAATGCATGATACATTTTTTTTTATCTAATATCTCATAATTTTTTATTTATTTTTGTAGACTCGATCAGAAGAATGGAGAAAAACTACAATTTCTTATACCACTGATCGCCCATCTCGCTTACCAATTGTAGATGTTGTTCTACGAGACTTTAATGAAATTGGACAAAGTTTTAGTATACATTTGAGTCCAGTGTGTTTTGTATGAATAAAAAAAAAAACATAAATTATGGGTACTTTTTTCTATAGAATCTATAGCACATCAAAATAATTGAATACAATCATTTTCATCAAAATATAAAAATAAATTTTAGGTTGCATTTAATGTTTTAAAAAAATGTTTCTTATAAATTATGATAAATCATTTAGCAATATATATAAATTGATATACAATATCAACCCCAGTACAGAGAATTATTGTTCTAAGTTTTAACCCATAAGTTACTCAATTGCCAAAAAGAACACATATTCCCATAAAAATAGAATATTTAATCTTCTTTCTATTCTACAATTACCCATTTATCAGCATTTCAAGTTTCATAATGGTACTGCTGAAGTAATGTGCTAGGGATTACCTGTCTGGTGTACATTTTTAAAGTTGTAAAAAAAAATCCATTAGGTACCGCCCCGATACAATTGTTTATTGCTAAGAACCTTAGTGGCGGGTGGCTTTACTTCCCCTACACACAACAAACTATACATCATAATTTTACAGCAAATATAATCTTGGCAGTACTTATTATATTTCAATAAAAATACATTTTCATAAGATTAGATTTAATGATGGAAATATATTACTCCAAAAAGGATTCAAAACTTAAGTATCAGAGATGAATGCAAGGTAATGTGTATCATTTATTGTAATTAATTGTCATAATAAGCATCTTTTGTAATTGTTTTTTTACACATTCGGTCAGAATGGATAAAAAATTTTTTTTATATACAACTGGATTCAAATAATAGATGTTTTTCTATGATATTATGGAATTGGTCAAAGTTTTAGCATATGTTTGAGTTCAATGTGTTTAGTACCAATAAAAAAACAGTTATCATTTGGCCAGTTTTCTTTAAATAGCACAACAAACCAGTTAAACACAATCATTTTTGTCATAAAATTAAAAAAAAAATGTATAATATAAAATAGTAAAAATAAAGTAAAAACTAAAATGGTAGGGCAGTTAACATTTTTTAAAATTTGGTCAATGAAACAATAGAAGCTTAAAATTATGTATAAGCTTATTAACGTAGGAAAACAAAATTTTTTATGAGTAACTTAATTAAACTATGGTCAAATTTTTAAGGCGCCCATAAAAGAGAATTTTATATAACTAAATTGAGTAAATTCTATTGGTTTTAACACAAGTATTAGAAATAACTTAACTTAATAAATAAATTACTTGATAAACAACCATAATATTTTAAGGACGCCCCATTTTATTATTATTATACACATTACACATTTAATTCATAATTATTATATGTATGTATAAATATTATATATTAAAAAATGTCTTTTTTTTTCAATAAAACATATATTTGTCATACACTTAGACTAATTTATTAATTATTATGATAAATTAATGAGTAGTTGTGAAACGAAATAATTTTAAGTAGGTAATATTTTGTTCAAGTGTTACATAAATATTAGGAAGATATTTTATAATTATATAAATATTTTTCTGTTCTATATAAATAAAATATTTGGTGGGAAAAATATCAGACAAACAAAGGCAGATAGTATAAAAAATATACATGATATATGATCAATAATCATAATAAAATAATGAGCAAAAATAAAATTAAAAAAAAACAACATGTCAAATAAAAGAATGAAACTTGTACCAATTTTTCCAATGTTTTTTCTACTAACAAATTGTAGAAGTTAAATTGTTATTATTAAAAGAAAAAGAATAAACCCAACAAAAAAAAATTGTTAAGTGTCACTATAATTTACATGATTCTAGATTCATACTTGAGGAACTTTATAAAGAGGTATCATATAATATGTGCAATCTTGATATAAGATGAGATACATAAGTCATAGAAATTTGTAAAAAAAAAATGCTTATAGTAAGGAATGAAAAAAATATATAATATATAAATGTCAAATTATAATCTGCCTTTGTTTGTGATCAGCACCTCTCACAGGGTGATTGTACAACTATAAAGTTTTATATAAATATTCAATCACTTTGGTTCCATTCGGCTATGTACAAAAAAAAAAAATAATAATAATACATAAATAAATAAATTTAATAGTTTCTAACCACGATGATAAGAATACCGAATATTTCGGACTGACGTTATCAACTTTTTGGTTTAGGGCTGCCAAACTTGACAACTAAAAAAAAAATATATATAAATAAATCAAATATTTTATTTATCTAGTTTATAAATACAGTAGACATTATAAAGCGTTTAGTACCCCAATCATGAAATTTGTATTATGTATTAAACATAATCGGATCTTAACTAAGGAAATAATTATTATTGGAGGAAATTCTAATCAAGCCTTTCTAGGTGGTTCTTAACTGGTATTCTGTTGATGTTAGTGAACTTAGAGAAAAGTATTTTGCCTAAATTTGAAAACTAGTTTAAGAATAAAACGTTTATAAAGAGGAATATTTGTTTCATCATCTTTGCTTGTACTTTTTTTTTTTTTATTAAAATAATTTTTTATAATATAAATAAATTTACAATCTGTAATAAAATAAAACAATAAGTAAATGTGTTTGGAGGCTTGACTGAAGAGTGCGTCCATTGACACTACTTCAAACTGGTTTTTTTTTTTTTTTGTAATTATTTAGCGAAGTAAATCACTAGGCAAATTTTGTTTTAGTCGACGGGGAGGGTTATCCGGAAGAGTCTTAGAGGAGAGGTTAGAAATTAGTGGGTTTGGATGATTATTTGTTTTGGAATGCAATTTTTTATAGTGTGTTGAAGCGAGGGTGAGAAGAGTTGGAATATTCAGGTCTTTATGGATTGTATGATTACTAACATACCAAGGTGCATTTGTCAGAAGACGGAGACTGATAGACTGAAAGGATTGGAGAAGATTTAGATTTGAGTTTTTGGTTGAGCCCCAGATTTCTATACCGTATGTCAATGCAGGACAAATTAATTGTTTGTATACAAGGGTTTTGCCACTAAGTAATATTTTAGAACGAAGAAGTTGACGAAGTTTATGAAGTTTTATTTTCATTGATTTTCTTTTGGTTTTGATGTGAGTGGCCCATGTTAATCTTTGGTCTAGATGAATACCTAGATATTTTACAGAATTTTCTCTAGGGATAGTTTTGTTATTGAGAGTAACCGAGGGGCTGTTATTTGGTTGCTAGTACTTTACAATTATTTTATTTTCTATTGAATAATATGTAAACTGATATGTATGTAATTTTAAATATAATATCATATAAGTACTATTTTACATCTGTGATCTGCAAAAATCTTATAAAATTATGTGTTCCATAATCTGAAAAGTTTAAGAATCACTGCCTTTCCCTCACAAAGCTCCAAACAGTTTGTCCTAGATAGTAATGTTTGATGGGTCAATCTTATTATTTCATTGGATAAACATCTGAATGACTGAATTATTTAATTTAGTCCCAAATTAAATTTATCTCTGGAAAATTATTCAAATACTTTTTATTCAATTATATACATTATACATATTTAAATGTATTATATAAATATTTTATATATAAGTAAGAAAAGAATCTATAGTGACAACAATCAGTTGCAAATACCTTAAGAATATTATTTTTTAGTCTGGTGTTTTGACTATAATGTTTCAACAGCCGATTTCAGAATTAAAAAATCTATTACAATTTGAATGGAAATAGTTGTTGGAGAATAATTAAAATTGTTCTCGCCAACAATACAGGCCATACAGCAGATATACCTAGTATAAAATAAAATGAGAATAAAAGTCAATTGAAAAACATGCTTGCATTACAGATTAACATGTAAACTAAAAGAATCTATACGTTTAAAAATATGAGAAAATTGGGCTACCTACATATTTTTTTTTTCAAGATTTTTTAAAAATATAGTTAAATTAATTGTTTAACCCATCTCTAATAAGACTTAAAATTTAAAAAGTAGTTTTGATGCATAAATAAACTTACTATCACACTTTATGCTGCGGCTGATGCCTCATTGGAAATGCATTACGGCGATCTGAATGACCATGTGCAGGGGGTGCAGAAGCTGCAAAATTATAAAAGATAAAATATCTTCTCACATCCATAAAAAGTAGAAAAAAGAAGGTAAAACATTCAATCATATATAGTCTTTGGTGGTTGCTGTTATTGGAAAAGCAAAACTGTTAAGAAAATAATTTATATAATCAAAAAATAATTAATTTATATAACTATTAAGTATAAAACAATTATCTTAGTTATGGTTTTGTTGCCAATGCAATTGTAATGGTCAGAAAAAATATAGTGTATCTAGCTCAAAAACATATATATATATCAAAATAAAAAACCAATATCCAAAATTATTCCAGTTATGTACTACCTCTTGGTGCATAATAATGACCTCTACCCTCACCATATCCATGAGCTGGAACTCTACTTGATCTGGGCTGTGATACATATGTCTGAGGATTGTGTCGCTGTATAAAAACGTAGATTTAGTTTCAAGTACAATATAATAGTTAAAATATCAATAAATTACCATTCTACGTAAGGTTGTAATGGGTCGTCTTAATGTTTCACTAAATCTCCGAGCAGGTGTTTTCTTAGGATTTGAAGATGGTGTGTGTACTGCACAACATTTTATAAACACTCCCATTATAATTACAAATGTAACACCCATGAGCATACAAGCCCACCAATTTTCCTAAAAATAAAAAAAAAAACAATTTAAATTTGATATTGCTTGTCACTCTTGTAACTCTAGTTAATATTATTGTCCTTCAAATTAAAATTCATAAAATTTCTATTTTAATTAGGAACATTTGAAATGATCACTTACTAAAGCCCATTGTTGGAGAGTTTGAAGTGTTTGTTTGTTGAGGAGCATATTTTTTAATCTTGCTAATGGCCCTTCAGCATCAACTGCTCTACATTTGTAAAATACATCACAGTAACCCTAAAGAAATTATAACATTACTAAGCATTTTCATAATTATGAAGTCATTTATGATAATTGATAATTTACTTGAAAATTATCACAAGGTGATCCTGGCCTTAAACTAATGCCACCGAGAGGTAAGTTAACCGCAGCAGCAAATTCACTAGTTGACCTGCAGGTTTGTAAATCAGTACCATTCATACAAGCCAACTCGCACAATTTGCGTTTGTCAATATTGGGTATGATTTGTGAGGTCAAAAAACATTCGTTTAGACCCCACTCCAAACAAATAGATCCAGTGCAATCACCATTGATGCAAAGCTTAACATAACAAAAAAAAAAATTAACTTAAGCTTGTAATCATTTTTATTTACTAACCTGTGTCCCTTCATTACAACGGGTTTTGTTAGGCTTAGGAGGTGGTACTGGACATTCTGGTGTGGTACCATCACAATTAGAACTATAACTACAAACATCTTCACCGCGGCACGTAACCATTCGATTAGATGGAATGAAACGGCAGGTATCAGCATAACAGCATGGACCTTGAGATGGACTAAAAATGTAATATTATTATAGTACAACTATTGTTATTGATTAATAGTCTCTATTTCACATACCTGCACTCAGTTTGAGCTCGACGGGCACAACCTCTAGCTGAGATGTTACGGAATCTATCTCGATCAGCAACTTGCCTGGGATAGCAGCATTTATCATCGCATTCATCATCATCATATCCACAATCACATTCTTCACCATTTTCAACAATTTTGTTACCACAAAATGCTCCTTCACTGGCTGTATAAAATTTTTTAGTTAATATTTAATTATTACAAATAAAGTTTTTATATGAACCTTTAAAGCAATTCCTTTTTTTATTATCTTGTATAGCATCTAATACACTACTGATATTAGCTATACTGCACGAAGAAAATTTACTGTTGTTTGGGCGATCACCGCTAGTAGCAGATGCAAACATGATATAGTTACCACTTAAACCACCGGGTCGACAATCTGAAGGATAATCATGCTGTAAATAAAAACATTTTTAGAAAACATGGACATTTTTTATTTAAATGTGTTATACAAACCGGCGATCCAAAATTATGGCCAATTTCATGGGCCAAGGTCAACTGTGAAACTTTGGGTGGCACTCTGCTATTGTAGTTAACAAATGTAATAATACCAGTGTTTAAACTACGTTTAGTTGATTGATATAAACCACCGATAGTTTCTGTATAAGTTTTATACTTTTCACAAATACCACCAGATGCACCTAATGAAAAATAAAATACATTTCATATAATCAACTCAAATCGGAAAAACGAACTTTTTTTTTTGTAGATATAATCAACAATCTACCAATAAACAAACTCAATTACCAGATGCGCTAGCGACCCAAGCTAGACCTAAGGTTCCTCCGGTGAAGTCTCTGTAGGTAAAAACATATGCTAGGCAAAAGTCTTCATGGTTTCCCAATGAATGTAGGTTTAAAAAATTACTAACATCAATATTTTCCATACAAAATGGATTTTGTTCTCCAGCCCATTTGTGGTCACAAGGTTCATCATCATCAATCTAAACAAAAATAGTAATACAATAGTAACTTATAGATTATTTATTTCAGAAACCCTTTTAATAGATATTAAAAATGCATATTATAATAAAAATAAATAAAAATATTTGGCTATACAAATATTTACTTTTATTCTTTGAACTTCAAATTTAATATTCCTGTGTTCAATGCGTCCATCAAATTTAGTATCTCTGTAGATATAATTCACTGCAGTTACATGGTGAGCTATTAATGATAATATCTCTTCTCTTGTCTTTGTCTTATCATAGCCAACCTATAAGAAATGTATTTATTTGAAAAAAATATAAAAAAATATATAATTATATTAATTTAAATACTTGTTCTTTTATGTGTTTCCACAATAAAGGGTCAGTTTGGATAAATAATGAACAAGTGTTGCGTTCTTCTTTAGGTTTAGTAGCACGTTTTGTTCTAACAGGTCCATAATGGTGTTTGTCAGCTGCTTGTCTTGTATATTTATAGGCAGGTCTTTCTTCATCTTGTTGTTGAATATTCCATGGACTACCAGAATATTGGATAGTTTCCATACTTTGTTTTGTAGATCCTGTAACTCCACATCCGCTAAAATGACCTGTAATATTTTGGAAATACAAGGTTATATTCATATTCAAATTTAATAACATTAATTAATACTACTTACTAGAAGAGTTATGATATGGATTATCAACATCATTTTCTTTATAGATAACTGAATGAAAACTATCACTGTCTTTAAGGTGACCATGGGGATGAGTATATTTTCTAGATTTTTCTATAAAATAGTTTCCTTTTTTCGGAGATATAATTTTTCCTTCAAAAACTCCATCAATAATTGACCCAAATACTACACTGTTGGCTTCGTCTGTTAAGAAATAAAAATAAAATTGGGGTAAATGTTATCAAACATCATAAACCTACTACGAGTTAAGTTGTTACAACTAATAAGTTTGTAGTAATTAAAAGAAATAAAATAATATAATAAGTAGTTGAGAATTTAGAATTTCTGTTATCTAGATTTTTAACAAATAAGAATCAAGTCTTTATTAAGTGTTAAGTATTCAAATTATAATCGTTTTAATTAGTAAATTTTATAATTATACCATTTAACATTGCACAAGTATATAACTGTATATAACCTTGCGATCTATTTAAATATTAAAATTGTGTTAATTTTAGAACACATAATACCTGAATGTTTGTTTAATATAAGGAACAACATAAGAAATGTACATTTTACAGAACCAATTTTGTATGGTCAGCTTTAAGATTAAAGTTAGTTGACTTATTAATTATTATATAACTTAAAGGTAAGAATATTCATTATGTTTTGTCATCAGTTTTTATATTTAAGCTAGTTATGAGCATTTTTAAACTGCTAAATTATTTTAACCGTAACTTACTCAAAAATTGAAGCAAAGCAAAAACGAATGTAAAACACAATTTCCTTACTTCGATTGGATAAAAAATCAGCTTTTATATTAAAGCTAACTACACTGTTAAATGCACATTTTTTGGGTTGTATATTTTTAAGACAGAGACAACATATCTCCCGGGTGTGACATCCACTAAGTTACACAATTATGAATTATCATAACATAATTAGTAACAGGTATATTGTACTTATATGAAATTATTTACATTGCTAGCTGTAAACATTCTAGATGTTTACAAATAGTTGTAATTTTTAAGGTATTTTTTTTTATTGAAGAATTATAACAAAGGTAATACATACATTTTTATTTAATAAAAAATTGGGTACCTAATGAATATTTAATGGATAAAATGTACAGTTCGCTCTAAAAATGAATTCATATTACAACTGAGTAGTGACATAAGTCTAAAATATTTAAAATCGAAATTGAAAAAAACAAAGAACTATATAAATAACAGTTCAATAATTTAGTAATCAAACAAAACTGTTTGTCAAATAAAAGAGCATTCTCTATCAGTTACATGTAGTACTTATGCCGTATGACTACCATTTTTCAGTGGGAACATACTTAAAAATTTTACTTAAGCCCTTAAAAAATATTATAAATAAACATAAATTTAGTACTAAACTAAAATTAATTTTTGTTTTTAAGTAACCAATAAAAACTAAAAACAATTAGTTTAAAAAAAAATTGTAAAATCATAACCTATTATTTCTAAGACAATCATATTTCAACTATTCTACATACCTACAATATTGATAATATATTAATATGTATCCATGTAAGATAGAGATTATAGTATGGATATTGTTTATAGGTAGCTAATTATAAGCTACCTGAGGTTTAGTCTTTAAGTAAAAATCTATACATAGTTAGACAATTTCTTTAAATTAAAATGAGACATTTTAGAATTAGGTTAATAGGATTAACACTACTGTGGAACAAATATTAATCTCAAATTAATAGAAATAATCAAATATCAACTTACCAACAATGTGTCCATGGTATATATGTGAAGTATCAATATTATTAGGATGTATTTGATTGCCAAAACTATCCAACACTTCCATGGCATTTGAAAATGTTTCAATATCTCGACGGAGTCTAAGTCGAAAGTGATGGCCATGCGCCTTAAATGTTACATGCACATTACTGTCACTATTAGTCACTGATCGTTTGGCCCTATTATGACTCTGGGCCAAGTGTTGAGGATCATATGTAACAGGCTCATAATGTGACACATACTGGCTGAGACGCTTACCTAATGTTAAAAATAAATGTAATCCAAATCATAGAAACAGATATGAACAGTTTACCTTGAATATTACTGGTGATTATCAAGAGCACAACGGCCATATAGCTGAGGGTATACATGCTAATAGAATAATAAAATATTTGATCACAGGCATAAAATTTGGCTTTTTTTACATTTAATAAGAAGTTAAAATATTTGAGGTATCAAATGGATTAATGATTTTTTTTTTAAGATAAGTTATTAATACAATTAATAAATGATCAAGAAAATGACAATTTCCGGATTTCCATTTTGACAGGCCTCCAGTGAAAATATTCTTTTGTTTTATTGTTATTCTTTTTTTGCGATAATAACAAAAAAAAATAGATAAAACTGTACAGTATCGCCATTACAATAATAATGTAATCACGTTGTATTTGAATATTGTTAATATTGTAAAACTTATAATACAATTTAAGTTTTAACTAAATGTTTTTCACCTTTAAACTTCATTAATTATCAACCAAATCATTTGTGTTGAAATAATTTCAGTCTATAATTTATATAGATTTTTTTTATCAATACCTCAAAAGTTGTATCGATAAAACATATCGTACGATTTCCTTCCATTGGCCACATTGGCTAGTTGGGGCTGATGCAACATTTTTCCACACACATCACTACATCAGTATTTAGTTGCCACATTATTTCTTTAACTCGTCCAATATTTAAGTCTAAATTTTATATTATATTTAATATTAATAAAGAAGTAAAGAATATTCAAAATGACTGAAGAAGAAGCTGTAAGTATCATCAAGTGTACCTAAGTAATGTTTTTATTTATAATTTTTGTTGTTCTCTATGTTAAACGTTGTCAATAATTTAATCATTGGCCAAAAATCTAAACTATCTAAATACGAACTACCGCATGAGTGTTATTTTTTGATTTATTACAACTTAATGATAATGTTCATTCTTGCCTCTATAATCGTTATTTGAACTAATATTTTTTGAAGTTTAGGTAAATACCAATAATAATTAATATTTATATAAAGTGTAAGTATGCTTTTTGGAAAATATTTTTCTGAAAGTGCATATTCAAATTGATATTTAATTGACCTTAAAAGTAGTGTTTACTTCTTACAATTTGAATGTAATTGTAAAATTCTACTTTTTAGGTGAGAAATATGAACCTATATTGTGTGTATTATTGTATCATAATTATTTTATTATCATTGAAATTCTTTACATTAACTCCTGTTGACTCTCATTAAATATATTATTTATAATTTTTAGTTATTTGATCCTTCCATCAAGAAGAAGAAGAAGAAGAAGAAGTTTGACTTGGACAGTGCTTTAGCTTCTGAAACTGGTGTTGATGGAATTAATGAACAAACATTAGATAAAGAAAACCAAGAACCTGTGCCAGATCCTGATGAATATGATGGTAATTACTTATTATTTATAACTATTCAAATTTGTATGTTGGGATTTCATTTATAACAAAAATTTGAAACTATTAACTATTGTGTGTGAATATATAGCTGGACTAGAAAGATATCCTCAAATATTATAACAGTATACACTTCCATTTAATTTGACATTGTATTTATTTATATCTATAGTTGTAATATTACTAGTGAAACTTGCAATCTGAGTAATCTTTTACTTGAATTGACATAATTTATGTGAAAATTCTATCCATTACATTTGCTATAATTTGTACATTTTTTCATATGCTTCTGTTCTAACTAATAATGTTATTTATACTTTTAAAAAGGTTTATGTAATTTTTATATATAGATGGAAACCTGGATCTTGACAACTTCGGTAAGAAAAAGAAAAAGAAAAAAAAGGTCACCATAAATTTAGATGATTTAGAGAGTGCATTACCTGATACATCATCAGCAATGGAAAATGGTGATGGCCAGGGAGAGGCTATGGAAGTAAGTTCTTAAAAAATACTTAGTAAAGTGTCTTTTTCACTTTATAAATGTTTTATTTATTTACTATTGTTTATATTGCAGGATGATTTTGATTTAAATATGGACTTTTCAAAAACAAAAAAAAAAAAGAAGAAGAAGAAGGATATAGATGAATTAGTTGCTGAAGAAATGGACAAGAAAGGTGACAGATTTGATGACAGTAAGTGTTTTCTACTTTTTCATTAAATAAGGTTGACAATCCATTATATGATTTTATTCAAATTTACATGCTTTAACGATGGCCAGTGGAATTTTGAGTCTGGTAAGGGTTTTGATGAGGTTAAAGTTATTGTGTAGAGAACTTTTTTTATTTAATCTGAAACAACTATCTAATAGTATTTCTACAGCCAATTTTGTTCGTTTTGGAAACTGTAGATATATTCTTCCTCAATATCCCAAAATTAGGATATGCATCGTAAATATTGAATAGTTAAGTAAACTATAAGCTAGGTGGGTATACTCTACACTTAATTTAACAAACCTTTTAAGACCAATTGGGCTCAAAAACCCATAAGATTTAATGACGATTTCATACATGTATTGTTTATTGTTCCGCAATAAATATAGTGTACTTTGATTTTTCATATATTAATAAGATTCTCTGAGATAATTTCCAAGTATGTTCAGTATATGTTGTAGGTTGTTAATTATTGTACAAAAGCAAACAATTTATAAATTAAATCAGTCACTGTTATGTAACATGGGTATTACATATTTTTTTTATTTTCTAGCAACTGATGGTGAAAGCCACACGTGGTTTGGTTCTGATCGTGATTACACTTATGATGAACTTTTAACTAGAGTATTTGAGATAATGCGAGAAAAAAATCCTGATATGGTTGCGGGTAAAAAACAAAAATTTGTTATGCGCCCTCCACAAGTAGTTCGGATAGGTACCAAAAAAACATCTTTTGCAAACTTTACAGAAATATGCAAAACGTAAGAATATATTGTAAACACTTGATTCTAAGATAATATGTTTATTATAATTTATTTATTATTTAGTTTGCATCGTCAGCCAAAACATTTGTTAGATTTCTTGTTAGCTGAATTAGGTACCAGTGGTTCAGTGGACGGTAATAGCCAGCTTATAATCAAAGGTCGTTTTCAGCAAAAACAAATTGAAAATGTACTCAGGAGATATATTAAAGAATATGTTACCTGTCATACATGTCGTTCACCTGAAACCATCTTGCAGAAAGACACTCGTTTGTTTTTCTTGCAGTGTGAAACTTGTGGTTCACGATGTTCTGTTGCCAGTATTAAATCTGGTTTCCAGGTAAGAAATAAACATATTTTTATAAAAAAAATTTTTAATAGTAAATCTTTTTCTAAAAATTATATTGTTAAGCACTTAGATCTATTTCATAAGTACAAAACTTAATGATTTACCTCAATTTTAAAATGAACATAATATTTTATTTTATTATGGAATAAGTTGTTAAGTCAAAAGCTATTATCAATTTGACTTTTATTTAGTGTGTGACCTACCTAGAGTTTTAAATGTAGTAAAAGAATATATAATTAAAATGTGTTGAAAATCACATTACATAAACTATAATATATTAAGTATACATTTTTTTTATATCTTCTATAAAACATATGAACAATTTGTTAGAATTTGTTATAGAGCAGTTAGGTTTTTTATAATCGAACAGAATTATTCAGCTTGATGGTGTGTCAATTGATTTCTATAAGTTACATGCATTTTTATTAAGATCTTGGATTTTATTGTTTTAATATTGATCATACAAATTCAATTGCTCCATTTACAGAAAATACAAAATTTTCCAAATGATGGACAATTAAATAAATATAGTCAATATTTTTTAAATGGTCTGATTTTTCATTCATTCACTAGTATAGTACTCTCAGCAAAATATTTCTTTATATATTAAAAGGAATTTATATATTTTCAACTCAGTTCTTACAGAATTTAAATTGGTCATACTCAAAACGAATACCTAAAATTCCTTCCTATAATATCTACCAAATAAAATATTAAATTATATAATTTTGATTAATTATTCATTGAAATATCTCGTGTATTTACCTATTATTTATTATTTATTTAATATTTTAATTTTGTTTACAGGCCGTAACCGGAAAACGTGCAGCTATCAGAGCAAAAACTGCATAAATTTTATAATATATTTTCTCTTGCGTGCTATACTAGTTCAGCAAAATATAATAAAATAAATATCACATTTTTACAAATTTCAAAAACATGTTCTTATTATTATTATAATAAACCCTACAGATATTAAAACAATCTAAATTTTGTTTTCCAAATGTTTATATTGCCTAGTTCCATATGTTTACTGAAACACGTTTAAACATTTTTAAACAGACTTTTTATAACCATTTTAAAATTATATTATATTATACAAAAAAATTAAACATAGTTAAATGCTTTTTTAGCTAATGTCTTTCAATAATTTACTTCTATGTTTAATATTTATGTAAACTACATTATTATTAAAACTTTTGTAAATGGGACTGAACTAATAACAGAGAAATAATTAAAATTTGTATTTATTTTGAGTGAAAATTATAGTAGATCATTTTGAAATAAATTTTGTTTTTGTTTTTATTGGAATTTAATAATTTTAGAGGTTACACCCACATAATTGTTCTGTCTTACAAATGTACAACAGACTGCATTTAAATTTGTGTTTATCAGTTCTAATTTTGTGTATTAAACTTATTGATTGAGTAAATTGAGCTATTATAAAAATTAAAGGTAAGAATATTATCTTTAATTTTATTTTTATTTTTAGGTTTCTAATTTGTTGTAATTGTTAAGCTCATCAATTTAAAAATGTTCATACATTTAAAAAAAATTTTAAATATTGTAAAAAAACAATGAAAAAATTATAGATTATGTTCTTATCTTTTAGTTTCGTAATGAGACAATTATTTCTATTAATAATTATTACACAATATTGGAACTTTTGAAAACTATTTAATATGTCATACTTACATTTGTAACATGGAGACAACACATGTGGACTTGGTGTCCTCTTAAGTTATTTAAAACTATTTTAGGACAGTGTAGCGTATTTGTTTTTTTTGGTTCAAGATTTTACTACATTTATGATAAGGATAGTAGTAGAATGTTTCCGACATTTTTAATTACAATTCTTTTTTATTCTGGTGTTTATGCCCAATTTGGCAGTAGAAAATTAACTAATTTTAATTCATACTATGTAGATTACATATTTACTATCTACTTAGAGCAATAGATTCCTAAATTTCATGTAAAGGTATAGGTAACTATTTTTTATTTTATAATTCAATTTCAATATTATTCATTTGTTGGAACTTTTTGGTTTTTGATCTTAGTTCATGAACACCATGCACCCCAAGAATCGAAAAAAAAAACTATTTAGTATAATATTTATTATTACTGTATGTCTGTATATTATATAATATTTTACTCGATATCGTTTAATTGCAAATTCTCATTATTCTTCATCTTTTATTTTTGTGTTGTACATACATGGGTTTTCCGATAGGTGCTCTAGGTTCACTATTTATAATTCTAATTTGTTTGATTAATTATCTTTATTAATAATAGTTTGACGACTGTCGTGTTCAGAGAAATTGTTTGAAGCTGTTAGGTGTGAATCATTTGTCACGGAAAAATCTGTTTCAACATTACGACTTACAATCTGGTTGAGCACAGTGGTCAAGGCCATAACTTGTAAAAAAACTTCTAGGGGTCCATCATTTTTTTAAATATGTTTACTGGATACTCAATGGTGAGACACTGGGCCATTCGGGGAGAATGGGCCTCACCCCCCATCGGCAATATCAACTTTTTTACCTAATTATTTAGCTGATATCATTGTAGTAAAAGGAGATTAAGAAGCTGTTCGGAAGATGTTGGCAACCATTTCAAAGTTATATTTAATGAGTTACTTCAATTGCTACTAAAGTAAATATTGAAATAAAAATACCACTTGTAAGTGGAAGACAAACTTATAGATTAAACACAACTAAGTAAAATGTGTCCTGAAGAATACTACCAAATATCAATTTTTATTTCTTTCCTTGATAGTATTTTACATTTTTACTACAAGGTTTAAGGTTAGGAACTAGGTTTAATCAACAATTAAAATAAGTCATAGCACTTGAAATCTTAAGGAATACAATAATGATTCCATATTGAGTGCTTCATCAATGTATGAAAATGCTTTAATAAACCTCAGAAGTCAGAGTGGGATTAATAATGTGGCAAAACCAATGGAAAGACAAACAAATCTGAAAAATGTACAGAAGAAGAAGAAGTAATTCAAATTTTTTTTTCTTGAAATAAAGTCTAGTTTAATGGATCCTCTAGAGTTAATAATTTTTTACACGTACATATTATATTTTTGCAATTGTCACAATTAAATAAATAATAAGATTAACGATGGCTATACTGTGACCATGTGGGTATAATATATGGCACTGATTAGGTACTGATTTGATTTTGAAGCACCCCACTCCCTCGAAATTTCAGAAAATATGTATAACCTAAGACTGCCAAAACTTCTCCAAAAAATAATATTTTGTGTACGCGTCTGATTTGAATATATTTCTAATTTCTATATTTCTACTAACTATTCTTGTGGTCAAATATTTTGTATCAAATTATCTTAAATAAATATATATGAGTTTAATATTATCAACAATTATCACGTGCGTGAAGTTGGCCCCCCCACCATGACCGATTTTTTTGAAAATTATGTACTCATTTTGCAAAT